CTTACACACACACTTACACTCAATCACTCACTCACTGGTCCAAACTCCCCTGAAACACACACACAGTGAGCATTGTGTTCCAGGTTTTATTTTTCACAGGGACTTGTGTTGCAGTTCATTTCAGCAGAGAGAAACACAGCTGGAGCTTCTGGGACGCAAACAATGCCGTGGCAATGATCATGCCAGACACATACAAATACAGAACATCCTTCTTGCATTTCATTGGCCATCATTCAATGACACTGTTCAGCTACATTACACAGTTTCTTTACTTTTAAAGCTTAGTTTGTCCTCAGTGTAGTCTGTTCTGGTATTGTAATTACTGATAATGTGTAATTTCTCTACCTTTCTGTAGTCAGGTACTAAGACTCTATCCAAAAAATATGTAATTCTACTTCCAGGTATGTCTAAAGTGGTTGAGCAAAGTGATCCATCACTGTGAATACTGTGTATTCATTTATTTTCTTCAGCATTACCTAACACATTAAATAAACTCCAGTTTCACTGGACACAGAAAAATTTCATATGTGATTGAGTCTGGAATAATCCGACAACCCCCTGCATGTTTGAATCAATTGAATTTGAGTCGACACAGTAAATACTGTACACATCATGTTAGGTTGCATATTGCATGTACATGTAGTTGACAAATGGCCAACAATCTTCAGTTTTTTCCTCCTTTCTCTGTTTACAAACTTCAGAATTAGCTGAAATGCCACAACCCATTTCAACACATTTATAGGAAAATATACAAACTGGATTCACACAACCTTGTCTTTGACAATAGATGACTACAATATTAGGATTGTGGAGATTAAGTAGGAGATTGTGAGCAATAGGGTTAAAAACAACTGTATGTCATCTTAAAGCGTGCAATTTTGATAAGCACAGTATCTTATTGTTCATGCAAACTGTGAGTTCACATATCAGTCCTCTGTGATACAGTTCAGGTTCAACCCAAGAGTGTGATTCAAACTGAAAAAAAACATTATTTTACTTATAATAACATCAGTACAGCAACCTCAGTTGAACCCCTTTAACATTTCTGTTGGTGAAAATTTCTGAACAAACATATTGATATTTGACTTGAATGGACATCTTGCTGAACCCTCTCACTCTCCACAGATTCTTTGGCTTACACAGAGAGCATGACAACATCGTCAGCGTGGATCCAACAGAGATCCATAGTGAGTAATTTTAATTGCTTTAACACATCCATCATCGTTTGTTTATTGGTTTTTCATGCTCCAATGCCTCTTAGTTTTCATTAAAAATGTCTCAGAGAAATAAGTTCAGTCTCTAAATCTCAGCTGAAATGTTTGATATTTACAGGTGGCATCTGTGGTTTGGGTCCAGCTCATTTGCAGGCTCAGGGACTGATGTCAAGGGAATTTGGTGCTCTATCTTAAATGGAATGTGTGAGGTTTTTGGCAAAAAAATTCCAAAATATATAACACTTGCCTCAGCGAGTGAATAGGGAGAAATCCATGAATCACACAAGCACACACACACACACAGACACACACACAGTCACTACTCTGGAGGACTGTACAGGCCAACACTTGATGAATCTATCCCTTGCTATGACAGTGATTGTGGTCTAAAACTGAATAAGTTGAGAGTTTCTGCTGTGGGATTTCTGAGAGGAGAACTGCAGAATAATGTGGAAGCAAAAATCTGTCAGTCAACGTGCTGTCAACATCTTCATCATCATTTTTTTCTTATCATTTCTGACAAGTTATTTAATAATTTCCAAGGAGTGTTCAATAAAAAATGAAGGGTTCCATGTGCTTTATGCATTTTACTGCGGGGCTTCAGCATGAACACTAGCCTATTTGAAAAAAAACAAAAACATTAAGCTAATGAGGGAGATGAGTTTTGTTTTAGTTTATCCCAGAAAAATCACAACTCCCCCAGATCTTTATTTGATTTGAATTGGATGTGGGGAGTATGGATCATTAGTATTTTAAGTTGATATTCATTTAAAACTACTACATGGAGATTTTAAATGGATATGACACAGGCTCAATTTAATACAAATACCTCTGTATGACCTACATAAACACACAAGACCATCAGCGAGAAGATTGGATATTTTTATGTCGTTATTCTTAATGCCTGCCACCAGGTTGGATTCAGTCGGATTCCCTTGAAATTAATGAAACAAGTTAATAGAAACACTACCGCTTTTGTCCACAGGGGCAGCCGGAATCAACAAAACATAAAATTTTCTTTGCTGCTGCTTTAAATATTCACATTCATAAGTCTGGTGATATTTTAGATTTTTTTTACTATCAACAAATTCCTTAAAAAGACTTAAATCAACGATAAACATTATTAAAAACACATCAGTGAGCCACACAGTTACATACAGTACCCAGCTGTTTTAGGAAATTATTTATTAATACATTTATTTAAAAAATGCTGTAATCTTTTTTACATTTGAGTCAGAATGACACAGGGTAGATTTTTTATTTTTTTCCATGCAATTTGTTGACAATAAGAAAAATA